GGCAGGAGTGTGCTGATCCAAGTTAATTAGTCTCAGCAAGCCAGCAGCTGTCTCCTGAGGTTTAGGTTGATTTTTGGCTGCAAGGCCCAAGTTGAGATCTCTGTCCTCCTGCTGGGTTGAACTCTGCAAGGTTCTACTGCAGGTTCCAGCTTTCTTTCCCATGAAGTTAACCAGGTTCCGATGTGAGGTGCTGGTCCCTCCGACTTACCGAGTACGGTGGTGTGATGTGCCTTTATCGTAGATTTTGTTCACTTTTCCAGGGGGCTTCAGTTTTCATCTAGGAGCCTCAGAGAGGCCCTCTCTCTCTTGTTAGTGCAGGGGTGCGGTTGGAGGGGTTGGGAGGCGATGAACGCAGCTGTGTTGGGCCCGCACAGCTGGGCTTCTCTGGCATGTTGGGCTGAAGGGGTGGGCCTACAGAGGTTCAGAGCAGTTGTTGGTCTCCTCTGGCACTGGATTGAAGGGGCGGGCCTACTCTCTCCTACATTCTTGACCACAACTGTATGTAGGAATTGCTTTTTAGAGGAAAGAAAGCTTTATTTTTTCTTAAAGTTATTTGTCTTTTCTCTAAAGAGATGGCATGTGGGAGCTGACAGGTACCTCAAGGAAAGGTGGGTTGACGAATGTGCCAGGTGTCATTTCATGTGTTAATTAGAAAGTGTGGGAATTCAGCACACCACTCGTTTCCTGTTGGTAATGTTAGAACGTGTCTGTCCTGTGAGTTATTAGTAATATTAATGTGCATTGATTCCTGAGCCAGGCTGATCTTTTGGAATCCCCAGAGAGACCTTTGAAAATGCACATTTCTGATTTTTGATACTTATGCAGACACATGGAATTGGGGCCCGAGCGAGGTGGCTGGCCCATGTTTAGAAGCTTCCCTGGGGACACTGGTCCAGCCAGCCTGACTCCCATGTGCACACCAGCCCTGGAATGGCATGCTGCTTTTGACGGGACCCTGGGCTGCCTGCCCTTGTTGCCTTGGCCTGGGCTCAGGATGCATCTTAAGCTCTAATTCTGGGGACACAGTGATCTTATCATGGTGCTGTTTTAGGGAGAAGAAAGATGCTTGGAGTGAAGAGCAGATGTGATGGCTCCTCTGGCATCTCTGGGCTCTCTGTACTGGGAAGCTAGGAGGATGAACTGACTGATCACTTTGTGCACTCCCTGATCTTCCCTTACGATAGGTGCTTTGAAAATCCAAGGTCTGAACAGTTTATGAGATGTGGATGTGTTTAGCCCACTGTGTGATAGGGGTTTTGTCCCTTGTGGCTTTGCTGACTGTGTCCCCTGCCTCACACACATAGCTGTCCTCTCTGTCTGCACTTTACATTTATTCTAAGTTGTTGGCATAGTTTAGTGGGCAGCCTTGCTCTGGTTAGTGATTTCAGAGAAAGAAATGTGGAAGTTTGCTGAGATGCAGCAGACTGTATAGAAGCAAGCATAAAAGCAAATGCTGGAAATGTGCACCTCTCTTCCTTTCCTCAGCAAGGATGTTTCAGGCTCTTAATTCTGGTATTTGCTGAGAAGTTTCGTGTCCCTTCAGCCTGTGTGTGAGTGATCCTCAGTCGCTGGCTAGCGATTATGTAAATGTAAATGGTACAAATGTAGAGATTTCCGGGGTAATGACTCCAACTGATAAGAAAAAGGGTTTTGACTTCATGATAGTTCTGACTTAGTGATATTGTGAAAAGCTATTTTAGTGTAGTTCTCATTTGAGTGTTTTTGGAATATGTATATAGAAGCGCACAAGTTAAAAGAGGGTAATTTAGGCCCGGCATGGTAGCGCACGTGTGTAATCCCAGCACTCGGGAGGCTGAGGCAGGAGGATTGCTGTTAGTTTGAGACCAGCCTGGGCTACATAGTGAGTTTCAGGTTAGTCTCAACTACATAGTGAGACCCTGTCTCAAAAAACCAAAAAAAAAAAAAAAAGAGGATAACTTAAATTTTTGTGGTTGTGTTTACATATTCTGAACACTATTGGACTTCTGTTGTAAGCTATGATTTATTATTGTTGCTTCAAAGGGAGACAATTACATGACAGTTTAATTGACTTTGGGAACATACTATTGTTTGGAAAGTTAAACAACAATTTTGTCTTTTAAGTAGAAAGCCAATTTGTGTGAGTTCGGAAATGGTGTATCTGTTTTATTGGGTCATTTATGGTTCAGTTTACAACATAGAAAAAGTCACTATCAAAAACATTTCTGCAACTGCCATTTCCTGTCCAACGTTTTCCTGCTGAGAGGAATGTTGGCCCCAATTAGAACTTGAGCTTTTATTTTCTTTCCTAGATATTTGCTCTCTAAATTACACTTAATTGGGATTTCTTGGGGATAGCAGTTTGTGTTAGGGGAAGGTAGACCATGTTTCAGTTAATGATTGGTGCCCACATTTCTGGGTTCTGTAGCCTCTCCTGCAGTAATGTGGATACATACTGGACAGATCCCATCTCTATGGCTTGGGACACAGTCACATGACAAGTAAATTCTTACTGTGTATCTGCTGCTGCCGTTCATTGTACTGAAAGCTGGTGTGGCTCATGAGCAAACTATAAAATGTGTCCCAGTCCAGAAATGAGCTCATTAGAGGGAACAATTTCAAGGTGAGGTAGGAGCGTGAGCAATTCAGGGTAAATTGCTTGGGAAGGTTCCTGAGTGATGGTTGGTTTAGTTGTTGGAGAGATCAGCTTTGTCTGGAGGTCTGAAGGCTTCCTAGAGGAAGTAGGAGAGGTTATAGAGCAGGAAAGGCAAAAAGATGCTCTGGATTCTTGGTCTGGATTCTTATCGAGAAATAATGAGTGTAGGCTGACTGTTGAGCCCCAGGCCTTCAGTGAGGCTGCAGGGAAACAGCAGGCGAGCAGACAGCACTACTAAAAACCTTAGCCAGATGACTGCTGTTTAGGGCATCTCCGAGTTTGAACAGGCGGGAGTGTGTGTGCTGCTGTCCCTCTTGGAGAAGGGAAATGCATTTTATTAGTGTGCACATACGTGTATTCATAGTCATGTGTCGCTAAACAACAGAAATGCTTCCTCAGAAGATTTTACTGTATGAACATCATAGTCTACTTACACAAACTAAGACGATGCTAGGTGACATAATCTTATGGACCACTGTTGTGTTTGTGGACCTTTGTTAATCACTGAAGCATCATTATGCAGCTCATGACCATGTATTCAAATAAGCATTGGAAAATATTAGGTTTTCAATCTGAGATCAGAACAGTGTAGCCCTAGGGATAGAAACCTAATTAAGGCCCAGCACTGTCCTCTACATATTTGTGGATATAATTTGACTTGTACTGATGACATAATAAACACGAGACTAGATAATTACATAATTAGGCAGCCAAAACATGTGTCATAGCCCCAGGACACTAGAACGAGCCCTCTGAGGTTGGGTAACTGCAAATGTGACTGTGCTGCTGTGCTTGGCTCCTCTGGGTTTCTACTGGGAGGACCACATGTGGTCTCAGACCCTGGAATTTTGAAACCAAACATTGACAAGTGGCTTTCTTGAGTTTGGTGGTTTAGGCTAAGATGCTGAAGGAAGCTTTTGAGCTCAGCAAATACAGGTATGTCCAGCTTTCTTTAGCTTTCCCCATTTGAGAAAAAAAAAGTTTGAGCAAACAAAGGGAAAATATGCATCTATTCCCCAAATAACTATGTCCAAATACATGAAAGTTGTCCAAAAACAGAAGGCCAGAAATTTGTGCAGATATATAGTTCTGTGCTTCTGCTCAACTTTGTTGTTTATGTTTACTGGATTTTGTCTGTCCTAAACAAAACATCAAGGCCTCAAGTGCAGAGGGTCCACCTTCTCCAGACCCAACCCTTGTGCATGGCAGGACTATGAACATACTTCAAGAAGGACATGGTAGGCTGGGGATTTAGCTCACAGTGCCTGCCTTACCAAGTGCAAGATCCTGAGTTTGATCCTTGGTACAAAAAAAAAAAAAAAAGTACCTGGTGCTCTTTAGCTCTGGAATGTAGATAACAAACTCACTTATACTTTGTAATCCTAACAGACTTCCTCCTGGTATAACAGTGAGTGGGCTATGTTCCATCAGTGTCTGTGTCTAAAATCTATCTTTCTTTGTTTCTCTGTAAATATCCTTTATTTGATTCTTCATCAAAAGAAATCTTTGGAAAAGAATTGCAACAAACATTGTGGGAAAGTAATCTAACATTTTAAAATAAAATGACAGTCTGTTTTGTGCAGCTATGACAGAATACTCGGTCAGACTCTGGGTAATTTATAAAGAACAGAAATTTATTCTCACTATTCTGGAGTCCGGAAAGCCCAAGTTCCAGGTACAGTATTGGGTGAGGACCTTTCAGAGCAGACTTGTTCCTTCCTGCCAGACCTTCTGGGCACAGAAGACACTAATCCAATCATGGTGGGGGAGCCCATGTGATCTGAGCATCTCCAGCACCGTTGCATTGGGGATTCGGCTTCTGACACATAAATTTGGAGGAACTTTCAGAACATAGCAGTGACTTAGTGTGGCATTGGGAAAAATAACACTGATTTAGAAGTTTCCAAGAGCTTTCAGAGTCATGGTTCGGAGCTGGGGAGGATAGGATTACCTCTTAGTACATTTTATAATTTAACCACCCTGCATAAAAATGGGGAGGAAGCCTTAATCTCTACTGATTTGGTAATCTTACATTTCTAGAAGTCTTGCATGTCTCACAAAGATGGGTTCACTCATGTTGCCTGTTCATTTATCTGCCATCCAAGAGCAGCTTTGATCTGGGCCAAGACTTAGGCAGCCACGACAGAGTTGGGTAGAGGTACCCACGGTGCCACACTGACACGTATGGGGAGAGGAGATGGTAGTGGTGTCAGGGGTTCTTACTTTTTAGTGTTTTGAGGTATGGGGACCTTAGGAGCCAAGAAATAGCAGTAGGTGTTTTATTTAGCTTTTACTTTGTTCTTGGGATCATGTAGCATATTTGAATGCTCGTATTTACAGCTAGCACTCAGCCATGGTTAATTTAAGGTCCTTGGGTTTAAGCCCCAGAATACATGTCATCCTTGTACAGGGGCAATGCTAATCTTTTCTGTATCGTTCGAATTTTAGTATATGTGCTGCCAAAGTGAGCACCCAGAATATATATCTATAGGGTTTCTTGCTTTCCATCAACATGCTGACTCCAGGAAACCCCTTGCCTAATTGGCAGGGGGGAGGGAAGCCTCTGTGCTATTCCTGAGAGCCAGGGAGATCTTGAGCAGATGTGTTTGACATAATTTCCAAAGCAGACCACAGCCCTGTCACTTGCCCTCTGTTTTCAGATAGTTAGGTTGACCGTAGCATCGGGTCCCAGTTAGAGAGATAGATGTTATGTGCACTGCGGTTCTGGACCAGGGAACTGGGTGTCTCCACCAGGCAAGGCAAGGTTGATTGCAAGTGTGAGTGGCTGAGCTTCCTCTGCCATTTCTTCAGAGGCTGTTACTGTTGCTGTCCACAGGGACCTAGGATGTGGCCTGACGCAGGAGCCCAAGGCCTTTGCTCTGTACCTTCTCTTTGCACCAGTTTTATTAAATTGTCCCCAAGGCCCAGCAGCCCTCTGGACTGCTGTGTCCTGTGTCCTGGAGGAGCAGAGTTCCTCAGGGCTTGCTGAGAACCACATTCCTGGGCCAGGCGACCATCACCAGTATAGACCTCTGGGGCATGACCTCTGCTTCCAGCCTTTGTGTTAGCAAATCCTGAGATTTGCATTTTTTGTTTAATCCTCTTGACCACCAACTGATTGTGTCACCTGCCTGCTTCCAGTGTTCTCACAGAACCCCTGGGGTTTCCTGCTTTGGAGACATCTCATCACCTGGTGTCTGCCTCTGAGTGGCCTTTGTACATCAGGCTGCAGGTCTGGTGTAAAGCATATTTTCTTATCATCCCCACCTCAGTTCTATACCTGGTTATTTGAAGCTTGACTGACTCAGGCTACCTGTCTACATTCTCTTCATTCCTCTGTAATTTATGTTAATCTCTGTTCTCTTTTTTTAAAAAAATACACTTTAAAAGAAGATGAGCTTCACACAGGGTAAAGAATAGAAAGAAGGGTGAGGGGAAACGTCATCCTCCTGCAGGCCCTGTCCTTCAGAACCAAGGTCTCTTCCTGAAGACACACTGCTGGTGGTGAATTGTTAATCTGGAAGCGGTACCTATGTGCATAGTTCCACTCAGCCTCATTTATTTTTCTTTTTTCAGTGCTGAGGATTGAATCCAGTGCTTGCCTTTGTATTGACCTCAACTGCTGGACCTTTTTAAAATTTTGAAACAGGTTCTCAGTAAATTGCCAAATTGCCCAGGCTGGGCTTGAACTTGTGATCTTCCTATCTCAGCCTCCCAGAGTGTGCACCACCACATCCATGTATACCTCATTCTTTTTTCTTAATAGCAGAAATAATTCTGTTGTGTCTTTTGACTGGCATGTAGGTCTTTCCTACGCTCTTGCTACGTCACATGACACTGCTGCTCAATGTGCATGCTGTGCTCTGACACTTGTATGAGCACATGTGTGGCATAAATCCCTAAAATGCTTGAGTCACAGACTATGTTCATCTTTAATTTGATTCTAAGTTGTCCTCAAAGGAGTTTTTACCAATTTTAATTACCTAATCAATAATATATCTACGTACCCATTTCTCCAAACCCTTGCCCACAGTGTGGTGTTGCTTGCTTGCTTGTTTGTTTGTTTGTTTTTTGAGACAGGATCTCACTATATTGTTGAGACTGACCTGGAACTCACTATGTAGCTCAGGCTAGTCTCAAACTCACAGTGATCCTCCTGTCTTAGCCTCCTGAGTGCTGGGATTACACCTGTGCGCCACCACGCCTGGCTGGTGGTGCTTTTGATATTTACCAGTTTGCTTGGTGAACATGGAACTTCAAATCCCTACGTGTGTGAGTTTGGAGTCCTTTGTGTTTCCTTTTCTGTTCACTTTGTGTCCTTTACTCATTTCTCCATTTTGTTGTTGGGCCTTTTTATTATTGATTTCTGGGTTGTTGTTTTTTTGTACATTAGGGAAAATGAGCATTCTGTTCTATGATGTTAGTGCTTTCTTCCATTTTATCTTTGGTTATGTTAGCCTTTCACTGAAGGTGATTTCCTTTCTGTAGGCCAATTCATTTATCTTTTCTTTTGTGAATTTTAGATTCCATATCCTGCTCCACAATAACCATTTTTTTCCTGTGTTCTCCAATTTATCAGGATGTTTCTTGTGCCGGTTTTAAATTTAAGACACAGACACACCTTTTTCCTGTCTTCCCATTGGCCTTTGCATCATAGATCTGCTATTAAATCCCTCTTGGATGTTCACTTCTAAGTAAGTTGTGTGCTTGTCATTTATTCCTGCATCCGTTGGTCCGTTAGCATTTCCTATGGTTCCAGGCATTTTGCCAAGGATGGGGGGGCACACGGGAGGGGCAAACGGTGGGGAGCAGAGTGGGCATCTGCCTTGCTCTCGTGGATGTCATGGCAAACATAGCTAGGCTTCTTTTCAAAGGGATTCAAACCAAGAGTTGCTGGAACCTGGGATGGATGCCACGAAGGAGGACCTGGACTCTCACCTCTTACACATGAGGTGATCATAGGATCATCAGCACAATTTTCCCTGAGCAAATGTGTCTAAGCGTATAACCTCAAATGGAGCTATCTAGGCCCTCTCTTGGAGGTAGCTGACAGGGAATCAGTGGAGGGAGATGAGAGAGCATTGTACTTTGAGAGAGCTGCCCAGTGAGACCCTGAGGTGGATGGGAGCTTGTGGTGTTTGAGAAAATGGTGAAGATCAGTGTGGCTGGGTTGAGCCATAGAGAGAAGGCTCAGAAGAGAACTCAGAAGAGTCCAGTTGTTTGGAAGTGTCTCCAGGGCTGTGTTACGGATTTGGCCATTTGCTCTAGGATTCTTTGGTTCTGTACTTTCTCTTTTAATGTGTATACTCTAACATTCCAGTAGATTCCTGACACATTTGCTCACTGGGCTTTGATCTTTGTGGCTATTTGTTATTTGCACAGTTCTGTTTCATCTCTTATTGAACACGACCTGCTTTAGGAAAAGTAGCATGAAGGGCTCTTAAAAAGGGATGTCCCATGCCGGTGTTGTCTTCCAGGCATCCAGGATACGTTCTGATGAATGCATTCAGCAGCATCTTCAGTTCTGCCTCCTGGTGACAGGCAATAGCTGCTAAGAGAACACAGGTGAGGGAGAACATGAGGACATATCAGCATCAGTGGCCAAAAGTGTGGTGATGTGTTAGGAACATCTTTTGCTGCATTCGAGGTGGACGTTACTGTCGTTCTGCCTGCTATTTGCCATTTGTGACCTGGAATAATTATTGTTAATTATAAAGACTAGTGCTCTTTCACCTTGCCTCTAGATGTCTCTTGGTATAGGGACATTTGATCAGAGGTCATTGTCATTGATTTGTTGCTCTGGGGACATGTAGAGCCATCCTCTAACTGACTGGAGGTTCTAATCCTAGCCCCTGCCAAAGGATACTTATGTTTCTGTTTCAAGTAAGACATACTTTTTGCCCTTGTAAAGCTATACTTTGGAAAAGTACCTTGATTTGGATATGTTTCTGTGTCCACCAACTTGGTGCAGTGGTCTGTGAGTCCTAAGCTGTATTTTCCACTTGAAATGAGCAAGGCTAATAGTGTCTGCAAAAATGTATTGATTAGCACAACTATGAATCCTTTATGCTTCAACTAGTAGTTCAACAAGCAGGTTAACAGGTGTTTTTTGTTGTAGAGCACCTGTTATCAATTCCCTTCCCACCTCACCTTTGAAGGAGCTGTCCTTCTGGGCTCACAGGGAAGTCAGGCATTGAGGACAGTGCAATGGGATGAGCTTGGGCAGAGAGCATTCACAGAACCAGCACAAGCCAGTGTCGCTGGGAGAGTCAGACTCTGCACTGAGAAGAGCCCATGACTAAATCTAATCAGTAGTGGCAATTTCACAGGAAGCAGGGGGGAACAAGCGGATCACCTCTTCACAGTTTGCACATTTGACAGCATATTTAAACAGAGGTTATTAGGCTTTTCCCTATGGAAATATGCGTATCTTTGCAAGCTGGAGACAACCCTGTCTGCAAAGTTAAGTCTCAGCAAGGTGCTTTGCTATTCAGATTTCATTCAGCCTTGTGTCTGTCCCTCTATAATTGGAAATACAGCTTTGTGTAGTAAGATTTGTTCTAAGCACTTAACTTTAAATATTTATGAGTTAGTGATCTCCTCACCTCTTACTTTGAGTGTTTATTACTTGACCTCTATAGCTTAGCATATCATTGGTCAGTCCTTTAGTGTTGCCAGGGTTGCACATGCAAGGGAGAAGCTGAGTTAGGTAGGGCCAGCTCTCAACAGAGTATGGATGATCAAAAGGCTACTGTGACCACATAAATCCTCCCACATGATGCCCTAACTGGCAAATGGTAGTTAGCAGGGTCAGTTCACCTCCTCCTGCCAAGTTTCCCTGTGTGTGTTCTCCACAAGCCAGGGCTGGTGCTCAGAACCTGGGGAGGGGAAGGTCCCTGGTTGGCCAGACCTAGACATTGTGTCTTTCCAGCAGCGGCTGTGCCTGCACATGCAAGTCTTAAATTGATGTCATATTTTCTCCTCATAAATTTTTACTTTTGTGGTTAGGATTATCCAACCTGATTATGATTTTGATCCAGCTGTTTGCAGTATGGCATTTAGGTTTTCAAAGCTAATCAGAAAAAATATAGATGGTATATATAATTAGAAGTATGTATGTCTGCATGTTTCATGTCATTTGACAACATCATTAGGATGGTAAATGCATGGTCCTGGCGCTGTCACTTAACATCTTCTGGATGTGGCAGACATTGTTAGAAGATCATGATACTTTCCTACCTGTCCTAGGAGAGACACCGCTGCCAATTGATTAGAGTTGTTGTATGAGACAAGACGTGATTGGCATCTTGGACCCATACTGTTCCTTAGACGTGGAACATTTGACTGCTCTTACCCAGTTTTTATGAGTCAGCATGCCACCAGCCACTAGAAACTCACAGTGAGAATAAATGCTTATTTCTAGGGAGTGATTAAAGTCAGTGACTGACACTTGCCTCTGACTACTGTTAGAC